ACACACACACACACACACACACAATTGACATACACACTCACGTAGTACGTAAGCGCACGTGAGGAAGGGAGAGAGAGAGAACTCTTTCTCCGTTTTGCTCAACACTTGACTTTAAAACTGAAGTGCATTAGTGGATGGTTGGCGGCTGCTCTGGTGTGGTTTGCTCCTTCTTTCATATCAAACATCTTTTGTCTCCATATATCTCTCATTCTTTTTTGTGTTTATTATACTCTCTTGTAACACCTCTAATCTTTTGCATTTATATGACCTTATTGTGTTGCAAGTGCCGCAAAACTCTTACTAAAACTAAAACGAAGTGCGGTTAAACATTTGTGGCGCAACTTATTGTCAAATATCTCCCCAACTGTAGAACATAACATAGACTCTCCAACTTTTGCACAATGATTCACTCGTTAAAAAGATCGTTGAAGTTGAAGATAAGTTGCGCCACGAATTTCTTACCGCACTTGAGATAAGTTTGTAAGAAGGTACTGCAACTCAGAAGTGAATTTAAACTGCAGGTTTAAGTAAGGGAAAAGGGCTATTCCATATAAATGAAAAAAACAAAACAAAAAACAACAACAACATGAGATCGAGCGCATGTTGCAACACAATTTGGGGAACCAGGGGGCACTTATGATACAGAGGTACTGTGTTCGCCTCTTATTCAGTCAAACTTTCACGTAAGAAATGTAACCAGTAACAATATGACAAGACTATTTACTATTTAGATATATATGAGCTTTTTCGAAAAGTTCGTCTTTCTGGGGTACTGTTCTCTTTGTAAATGTATTCAAGGAGAACGAGAATGGAAATCCAATCATATTTGGTGTCAATAGATCCAGTGAATGCCACTGATAAACTGGGAGAAAAGTGAGGTAGTTGGGGAAAGTCGTTTTTTTTTTTTTACGATATAAATAATATAATTCAGCTGCCATGTTGACCGATCCGACTCTTGACAAGGAGGACAAAGAGTGACCGAGCGACTGAATCTTGCCCAATTGATCACGTGATTTAACGGATAATGCGCAGAAATCCCCACGGGCTAGAACACGGAACATGCGCAGAAATTCCCACGGGTCAGAAGCCGCAGGCTAATCGACCGAATTAATTTGAGTCGCAAAACGCTAGCCACTCCAGATTGGGCAACTGGCCACTTTGTTTTACAATACTATTTCATTATTTTGATAAGCGCCTGATTTTACCTTGATAGGCCTACCATGCATTTAGATAATGGGGGGGGGGGGGGGGGGGCTTTTTCAAAATTTGTCTGTCGGCTCGGGCATAGTGGGATATATCCATAATGACAGGGTGAGATGATATAAAATAACCCCTAACACCACACCCCCCCCAAAAAAGGAAAAAAGCAAACAAACACATTGTGGTGTTTACATGTATAAGAACAACAGCAACACCCTTCAGAAAACAAACAAACAAATTTACAAACAAAACCATCACCCCCCCCCCACACACACACACACACACCTAATAAAAACCTCAAAATCTAAACTATGCAGAATAACTCTGGGATTATCGAACACCTGTCTTCACCGTGTACATGTTACAGCGAAATCCCTTACTATTACAATTTCCACCACACACACATACACCACACGCACACATAGACACACCAGGTGTATGTATATTATATTTGTTGGACATTATGCGCCTGTGTATACAATTTCAACACCACAGGTATTTCAGACACTCATGGGCCTACTTAATTAGCCACGTCATCACAGTTTATAACACAAATTGTAAACCAGTATAGCCGCCCATTTAATTTTAATCATACTCTTCTCCTGTCTGGGATGGCCCTGTTAGGCAGGGTCAGAAGCCCACCTCCTAAATGATCCAGTTTGTGTCCATGGCGGTGTAAAATCACCTTCATAAGATAAAAATTGCCTAATCATCACTCTCGCCTTTGACATGGCAAGTCAAAGTGCAACGCGCACCATTGTGTTGTTTTGGCTTCATTATCACGGACACGCTTCACTGGTTTGCTGAGTGTCTTACGTGTACATGACGTAATCTGATACCGCACCAGGGACAGTGTTTACACAACAAAACTACCCCCCCCCCCCCCCCACCACACACAAACACGCGAGCGCCTCGGGGTGCACATGGATACATGTACAAAAAAAGAAAGAAAGAAAGAGAGAGAAGGGGGGGGGGGGGCAGAAAGGGGGTGTGTGAGGGAGAGAGAGAAAGCGAGAGACTGGGGGAGGGGGGTGGACAAACACAGAGCAAGCGAGTGAGGGAGAGAGAAAGGGAGAGAAGGAATGAAAGAGACTGAGAGAAAGACAGAAAGAGAGAGAGGGGGGGAGACAGAGACTTGCACTTGATAGAGAGAGAGAGAGAGAGAGAGAGAGAGAGAGAGAGAGAGAGAGAGAGAGAGAGAGAGAGAGAGAGCGTGAGTGAGGGGGGGGGGCAGTTGAAAGGTTTTGTTTGGAAGATTGAAACAATAAAGAAACTGCAATAAATTTCACTTGTTTAAATCTAGTCTGAATGTTGATCACAGCGCCGTCCAGACTGATCTTCTGGTAGTCCTCGTGATTTATTTTGGTTTAAAAGAATAATTTTTTAAAAAGCAATATTAAAATACCAATAATGGTCGACTTCACTTTCTGGAAACTTCGTAGAATGCTTCGTCATTATAAGCAGAGCCAAAAATTTTACTGTTCTAAGCTTTAAAAAAATGAAACTTCACCGATTTCAAGCTGTCTGGAAAACAGAGATTGCACAAAGCAAAACTACAGTGTTCCCTCACTGTACCCCCATCCCCTTTCACCAATCCACAATACTTAATAATTTTATAGACGGCTTACCAAGGGGAGACAAAAGTGGAAGGGTGTGGTGGTGGTGGAGGGGTTGTGTTTTTTGTTGTTTTTGTTTTTGTTTTGTTTTGTTTTTTAGGGGGGGGGGTGGTATCTGTGCGTAAATAAGACACATTGTTGAAGTTGAAGAATATTGTGTAGTGTGTTTTATTGGTGAGCCCTCTGATTTTTGTTGACGCCTACCTTTTTCTTCACTCCTATTAAACCCCATTTCTACAATTTAAAGTGGTACATGTCATATTTATTTACTCCCGAAAAGACCATAGTTTTATCCTATGCCAGGAACACATTTTGTGTCAATAAACTTCGAAATAAAAGTCGAACTGGGTATATGGTTCCTTTTAAATACATCTTTTTTGGAAAGTCTATAGTCGGTCTTTCCCCTGGATCATAATTGTTTTTCTCCCAAATAGTTTGAGAAAGGGTTAACGATTAATACATTTTATCTCAGCCCACGGCGATAAAGTGTCAGGGAGGGGGAATGTGGTGTGAAAGTTACAATTAAATTACTTTCACAATTAGACTACAATTCTGTGAGCGCTAAACTATTTCAAACGTTATGAATGTAACACAATAATTAGCACAATTCAAATGTGGACAAAAGCGAGAGTGCCCAGGATAAATTCCCTTCAGGCCGGACACGCAACAGTTGCGCGCGTCGCTTGGGACAAAGGATAAGTACATGTAGGCTATCCCTCACAAAGACTCAGGACTGACTTGTCGATGAGCGTGGGACTGTGAGAAGGCGAGAAAGCCTCAGTCTAGAGACTGGACATCCGAGAGCCCTCACCTTTTTTTAAAGCTTGTTATTCACTTGTAAGTGCTTGGACGAATGTGTTTAAAACTACTAGTTAGAAAGAAAACGCGGCTTATTGTATAATTTTCATGAATTGTGCACATGTTTACAGTGTTAATCTAATCATCACGTTGACAAACTTCCCTTGCACTGTGTTTTGCCATCCTACGTTGAGTTTACGGAGTGTTGGAGTAAACCAAGCTTGTGTTAGCCACGATGATATCGCAGTCAAGTGAAGGGATGAGCTGTCTGTCCAAATTCCCGGAATCTGGCGTCATAAACGCATATGGTGACAGCGCACTGAGTATACCGAGGACAGATGCACTCTGTGTTGATACGAACGTATTTCTTACTTACTCCAAAAAGAAAGATGGACAAGACAAACCCAACACTCCTTGTTTCAACGAGTTGTACCAGCCTACAGGAGAAATTTTGGGCCACGGTTCGTTTGGCTCCGTGTGCACATACAAGAGGAAGAAAACGGGGATGGAATACGCCGTAAAAATCATCAAGAACTGCGATGATCCTCGCAGACGACCGGCAGTGTTGAGGGAGATCAGAGTTTGCGGTCGCTTCAAAGGCTGCGAAAATATCATTCAGCTCGTGGAGTTTTTCGAAGAAAAAAATACATTTTACCTAGTGTTTGACAAGGTAGCGGGAGGTACCATGGACAAGGTGATTAAATCACAGGCGTTTTTGGACGAGCCTGACGCTTCCCGTGCGATCAGCGCCATTGCCCGCGCTCTGTTGACTCTCCACAGCGCCGGAGTGGCCCACAGAGACATTAAACACAGCAACATCTTGGTTCATACAAAAGGGGAGGTCACCCCACTCGTTCTGTGTGACTTAGGCTTAGCGAGTGAGCCCACTCCTAACGGGGCCAGACCTTCCCTGACGACCGCTGTAGGCTCACCAAAGTTCATGGCACCGGAAGTCGTAGCCGCGATCAGGCAACGTCCCGTGGTACCCTACGACCACCGCTGTGACATGTGGAGCCTAGGTGTCCTGCTTTTCTCTATGCTCTACGGCTTCCTGCCTTTTAAAGGCGACTGTGGTAAGCACGTAGGTGTCTGGCGCCAGCCTTGTCATGACTGCCACCAAATCATTCTACACAAGGTCCTGCACGGACAGTTCAAACTCCCGCCTGGCCCCACGGAGTTGTTGTCACGTGACGCAGTGAATTTGGTCCGAGGCCTCCTGGCCGTTGACCCCCGAGACCGCTACTCGGCCTTCGACGTGCTGCAACATCCTTTTGTCACCGCGCATGCACAAAGGTGATGCCGTCACTGAAATCGCTTCGTCCTCCCCTTTGCTACCTCAGAATTATAAAGATCTGTCTACTCAATACCTAGTTTTGAGAAATTTGAGATAAATTTTTTTGGGTTTGTTTTACAATGTGTCAAGCTTTTTTTAATGTAAGTTGTTGAATATCTTGATAACGGCTGGGAATATTTTTACGATTTTGATATAGCAGATAGAGCATTTGCTTTCTGATCTCATGGTGTTAGTAACACAAATCGGCCAAAAATGTCAAATAGAACTTTGTAATTTTTAGGTAGCGACTTTGCTGTCACAGTCTTTTCAGTGAACGAAGATGATGTCATTTCGCAAAGGATTATTATTGTCTGGACTAAGCTGAATATGACGGTTTCGCCGAATAATGACATATCTTGAAGATTTTGTCATATTATGGTGTATGTATTCACTTTTTGTTCTGTGTGTTTGTGACTGTAAATGTTTTCTGAAATGCATGTTACTACTCTAATGCATGATTGACTAGGAGATATGATCATTTACTTTCTTTTAAAAAATTCTATTACTACATACAAGCGAAAATAATACTTTTTTTTCTCTTTATTTTTTAACACCAGGAAGCTCATGACTATCAAAGAAAACCAAACTGAATGAACCTTGTTCTAAATTTGCTGTTCCTCAAATATGGTTAATGTCACTGGGATTTGCTATACATTCTGTCTTGTTATAGCAGTCAGTAGATAAAAAGGGGCAAGGGGGGGGGGACTGATCACTTTTTTAAAATAGTCGATGAAATACTTCAAAGATGAGGTACGAACCAGCGAAGCGATTTCAACATGATGTACAACATCATTTATTTTACTGGGAAATGCAAATGTATGAGTATTGCACTGAATAAATTGCACCATCTTCTTCATACAAATCTTCTGTTTGAACTATCCCAAGCAGGAAATATTTCTACAACACAGTGACAGATACAGAGTCCATTTAACCTTAATGAGGATGTGCGTTATGGTTACTTAAACATGCTTGAAGGCGCGGGTTTTTGTTTTTTTTAAGGAAGCAAAACTTCGCTATTCGTACAGAAGAATTTTCAATTCTATTTCCTTATCCTGAAACTTTAAAAGGTAGGCAAGAAAATATATGGATTCTGTGAAATATTTGGCAAAAATTTTGCGAAATGACTTTTTTAAAATAGTCGATGAAATACTTCAAAGATGAGGTACGAACCAGCGAAGCGATTTCAACATGATGTACAAAACTTCGTGTTTCTGATTTGAGTATAAGGTAAAATAAAGGTAGGTGTACAAATGTACCACAACATTGCGATTGTTCTACTGCTGATCACGCATATTATATCTGTTACGTTTTGAAAAGTGAACTGTGTCTATGTCAGCCAGGCTCTTAGATGGTCAGTATAATTTTACTTTTGCACCCATTTTGTTTTCAGATAATATTTTAAAGCAGCTTTATGTTCATTTTTAAAATCTGTTTTACTTGAATTTTCACTTTAAGTTCGCCGCAAATTAATCTATTATTTTATTAGTATGAAAACGTTTGAGTATGACGGTTTTAATACTGAGCTAAAAGACAACGTACAGGCCTAGGAATTACATAGCAATATTTCACCTGTCTTTAACAAACTGGGGGGTATTTTAAGGTAGTAAAAAAAAGAACACGTTTTTTTTTCCTTTTGGGATAAGGGGAGAGAGTTAGAGAGAGAGAGAGAGAGAGAGAGAGAGAGAGAGAGAGAGAGAGAGAGAGAGAGAGAGAGAGAGAGAGAGAGAGAGAGAGAGAGAGAGAGAGAGAGAGAGAGAGGGAGAGGGAGAGGCAGGCAGATAGACAGAAAATGTGCGCGCACGGGCGCCCTTGAGTGTGTGTGTGTGTGTGTGTGTGTGTGTGTGTGTGTGTGAGTGTGTGTGTGTGTGTGTGTGTGTGTGTGTGTGCCTTGATTGTCTTTGTACTCTACTCACTGTTATACACGACTTTGTAAAAACTATCATGTCAATAAAATGTGTTATTACCATTGATTTGGAAGTTGCGTAATGTGTGTTGTAAGTGTTGACTATCGACTCACCAACCTTCGTTTCAGTAAAAGTTGTGGGAACAACGTTATTATAAAACAAACAAGAATCTAGATCTAGATCAATTTTGTTTATTAAAAAAAGAGCGCTCTAATTTCCGGCTTCCGGTGAGAAGGAGATCACTCTAACGTCGTCAGCTCGCTTCAGTTTAATTTTTTTTTGTTCGCAATTCTACGTCAGGAAGTTTATTGACGCCGCAAAATTTGTCAAAATTCTGCTAAATTCTGCCAAAAATCAAATTCCGCGGCCGCAGCCGGGTGAAATTCCGCGGCGCAGTTGATCCATTTTTCGGCGCGAAAAACTACGATGTCCGAAAATTTACAATCACTGCCCCCCCGCCCACTTTTATTAGAGCAGGGGAGGTAACGAAATGAAAATAAATCCAACATGGTTCGAATACCATACAACATTGTGTAGTTGTCTCCCATGAAAAGGATTTGTTTTATCAGGACCTGTCCTGAATCCAACGCAAGAGAAAGTGTTTTCAGGTGATTAATCATTAAACAGACGTAAAATAACAATCAACTAACCAACCAAACAAGCAAAATACATGGTGTTGTATTGGAGATCGTTTGTATTGAAATCAAACACTAAACAAAAGTCAACTTAAATTCAGCTCAAGTCTAATTTATATTATTGTGAATAAGTTTTAAAATACTTCTGCGTTCTGCACAGTACTTGTGCCAACAACCGGGCTCCCCTTTCGCCTGTAACATGCTACAGGGCAACAAAGAGAAAAACTTGACCACAGGACGATGGTGAGGTGTTGTCGAAAGGTGCTGCTCAGACATATGTAAGAAGTGAAGCTCACGAGGTCGCTGCAGAGTTGGCCAATGGTGAACGTCTCTTTGAGTCTGTACAATAAACACGGTAATATTAAGGATTGAAGTAACAATAACAACATCGTAGGAAGAAATATTATAGCTGTCCCCGTGGTTTTATGCACCCTGCATAATTTAGCAAAATTGAGCATTTTTTGGCGTAATTTCTGATTATTTTCCTTTACCATTCTTAGTTAAAATTAACAGAATCGCATAATTTCAACTTTTTAGGCTCAGTTTGTATTATTAATTTCAGAATTTTTCTTGCTGGGATGTAATGTAGACTGTGGAAGAAAGAAGCCTAATGTCCGGCAGTTTCTCTAACTATCTATCTATCTATCTATCTATCTATCTATCTATCTATCTATCTATCTATCTAACTATCTATCTATCTATCTATTGTTGCAAGTGTCTTTAAACTTTTACTGAAAACCGTTTAACTAAATGACTACCCCAAAAAAATAATCATAGAAACGTTTACAACTTCACTCACGTCAAGTACAGATAGTGTTCCTTCTGGCCTACCCCATAATGGTCCAAGTCATCCCTCACTAACACGTTCACGTTATTCGGCAGCGAAAACAGGATGAAGAAAAAAGTCGAGACCAAAACCACAGTAGTCGTCTGTTTTTCCAAGTGGTCACGTGAGACGCTTTTGTTGACTTTATTACTTTTGTTTTCGGCGACGCCGCTTGAACTTGAGGGTAAAACTTGGCTGTTGGTCATCTTTGAGCGTCGTTTTGAGTGGAGGAACAGTGCGGTGACCATGCCAGAGTTGGTAAAAGTGCCTACTATGAGTGGAATGTACACCATGATGTAGCTGAAATGAATGAATTGTAAAAGCGATATGACATTCAGCAATATATCATTTTTTTTTAACGTAGGTGATTTTAACCTTTTAACCCCCCCCCCCCCCCCCTCATCAACACAATCTAGATCATTAAGGAAGCAGGAGAGACATCCCAGCCATAAGACCAAGATACGAAATAACAATTTTTCTCCCCACTGATCGGGAATCGAACTCAGGTCGCTTGCGTGGGATAGCAAAGAGCCTAACCGCTACGTAATAGTAAAAAAAAAAAAGCGTAGCAATATCTCTGAAAACTTGTATGTACGTTAACTTTGTCCTTTTAATTTCTGAGGAGCTCTTTAACGTACTTTAAACTTTTTAGTGTTTGTGTGCCTTCCCTTTGCTGAGACAGTGGTTGTTAATGCAGAGATTTTTGTTGCAATACTATGAGTCACTCATATATATACAAAGATAAGAGTAAGATTCATAAAATATATTTTATTTATTTGTCAATCTTCTTTCTTCTTTTCCCTCCTCTTTTCCCGTTAAGCGTCTTCGGGAGATGTAGTTTTCCTCGGTCGGCTAGCTCTGCTGCTCTTTATTTCACTGAAGCCTTCAAAATGTAGATTCTAGATGTCCTAAATTTTACTAAAAATTAGGCCCTAAATCGTTAAAACGTGTTATGAGCAAAGCTGTCCTCTCTTATTCTTGTTTTCTAGTAGACAGCAGCAGTTATTGTAAAATGAGTAGGCTACCATAAAGGCAGATTGAGGTGAATGGAGATTCTCTGTCTGGCTCAGTGTCTAATTCAGTTTTAAAAAATTGTGTTTAAACAAACTAATGATAATGGACTCATAAACACGAGTGGTTGGCAGGTACTCAAGACTCAAGGGTGGCTTGCTTTTTGCTCCTTTTCTGTACAGCATCTCGCATCCGTATCTCTCCTCCTTCTTTTCTTTGTATCTTAAACTAACGATATATGAGGAAGGAGAAAGTAAAGTACCGGTAAGAAAAAAAAAAAAGCAACCCTCAAACAACTTACGAAATCGAGCGTGCGATGTGTACAAATAGAAGAGGATAACTTTTAGCCAGTGACGTCGTCGCGACGAAGTGATAGCCCTGAGAATTGCCGGACTTGACTGTGTAGCGGAAGAACAGGTAGACATGAGCCAGGAGTGAAAGGGGCAGCACTGACGAACACACGGGCAGAGTTTGGTTCAGCACTCGAAGGCGACGGGCTCTGTAGAAAACATAAGAACACACTGGAAAGTAGACAATTGCGAGCCATCGTGGTGAAATCAAACGCTCGTCAAAGTAATGAAATCGCAGAAGCCGACATTTTTTCTACCGTTGAACAATTTTTTGTTTAACGTTCATTAAAAAAATTCGGGGTGGATTTTACTGAAAAGCGTTGATCAAAACATCCCCCCCCCCTAAATTAAATAACCCCCCCCCCCCAACCTCAAATAAACAAACAAAACCAAACAAATTCATTAACAAATTAACAAAATAAATAATTTTCTAAAAAATATTATGAAAATGAATAAATGAATAAATAAATAGATAAATAGATATATTTTTTAAAGTAAAAAAAAGGAAGTGATTTTTGCTTTTATTATTTTTTTTACGAAGGTGAATTCGCAGTTTCCAAGAACACTCAAGATTAGGAAGTCAATAAACTTTTTGAGGCCATTTTCTGGTTACTTTGATCTAAGACACAAAACGACATCAACCTTCTTCAATCGCAAATATCTTGACTTCTTTTCAAGACAGATAGGTATTTTTTCCACAAAACGAGAGACATTGGCTAAGCTTAGAGATTATACTGATAACTCTATCACCATCATCCGGTGCCTTGTCGACTGGCGCGGGCGATCATGGACCTCCACTTCATTCTGTCTTGCGTTGCAGCGATGGTCTCTTGCTGTTCCCAGTTTTGTTGTCAACCTGTCCTGTATCTTTTCCCTCTGTCTGCCTCTGCTTCTCTCTCCATCCAACTAGCCAATTGTTACAATATTCTCCAATGCTTCTTTCCACATTGTGTGTCCAATGAACATTGCTTGTCGCTTTCGTATATATTCGCCATAAGCTGTCATCTGTAATAACTCATTGCAACCTAAAACTGTCGGGCACCTGATTCCACCGCGTCACGACGTTATTATTATTGAGAGCAACGGTGTGGAAAATCGGAATAGCGGCACTTACAGTGAACCAAGTTTGAAATACAATGTATAATTTAAATTACGTGACAACTTTGTTGGCATCTGATACATTTTTGGTGTTTGATCATTATCTATGGCTCACCAACTTCCCCGCTTTGATTTAACAATACAGTCATGTACGAGGGAGAGTAAAAAAAATAATGCAAGTTGTTCGTTATTTTTCACAATTTTGCATCAAATTTAATTCAGTTAAGCTCACAAGTACTTACTCATATATTTTTGAATTCAAACTGTTAAAATTAGAGTTTCTTTAATTTTGGCCCGAATAACGTCACATCAAAATGGCTACCCTCTTGGAGGTCTGTCAGAGGTAAAGAGCAGTGATTGAATTTCTTGTTTTAGAAGGAGAATCCACCGATAACACACAAAAGAGACTTCAGAATGTTTACAAGGACCAAGCTCCAGATTTTGTCACTGTATACAGATGGGTCAGAGGTGTAAGCAATGAACCGGAAGAAGAAGAAGAGCTGTCCATGTGCTTTTCAGATAAGCATCGTCCCGAGGAGTCAGCCGGAAAAATCACGGCAATTGTGTTTTGGGACGTTCATAGCGTGCTTTTCACAGATATTTTTTAACCACGAGTATCAACTGTCAATTCTGAACCCTACATTGAAACATCGAAACGACTGAAAGCAAGAATTCGACTAGTCAGACCAAATTTGAACTTGGAAAGAATGTTTTTTCACCATGACAATGCCCGCCTGCATTCGAGTACCAGAAAAGGGTAGACAATCACCTGTTTATGTGGAAATTACCGCCACACCCAACTTATTCTAGATATTTGGCTCCTTCAGACTTCCACCTATTCTGTCCTAGAAAAGAACCATTCAGAGGTCAACACTATGGAAACGATGGATAAATCAAGACCGCTGCACCCCTACGACCAACCTGCTCAGCTTAACGCAGCTGGCATGGGAACTTAGTAAATGGTAGACAGTGGCTATTGAACGAAATGGAGACTATATAGAGGATTAAAAATGTGATCCCCAGATGCTCCCCTTCAATTTATGGTATGGTAGTTGCAAGTGTGTTATTTTTTCTTTAAGTTATAAACGAACTTGATTACCTTTTGACTCACCCTGGTACTTAGTTTTGTTTTTGTGTTGTGAAGAAAACTTAAGAGATCTCCAGGGTGCAATTTGGGTATAGATTATTGGTACCATGACACTTATTAAGAAAGAACAGGTTAATGAATATCAATAACAACAGCAACAAGAAGAACCACCCCCCCAGATAATACAGACACATTCTCAAGACCGCGCTATCTTTTTCACTCTGCGAACACATAATATCCAAAGAAAATGAAAAGAAACAACTCTCCCAATAAAACAACAAACAACTCCCCCCCCCTACCCCCTCAAAAAAATAAAAACAAAATGAAAAACAAAAAACACCCGTCCCGCCAAGAAAAAAACAACAACCTGCAAACAAACAAACAAGCAAGCAAACAAACAACCAAACAAACATATATCGCTTTTACTTTTACAGTTAGCCTACTTCTATTCTAACAGTGCCATCATCCTGACCTCATGGGGAACGCGACGACGACAAATCGCTGTAGAGAGACGAGACAGTTGAAGACGTAGACACAGCGGCGACACGAGGTGCCCAGGTACAGGTTGCCTACGTACACAAAGTAGGTGAACTCTGTGGTTCTCCCACAGCTGTTGGAAGAAATGCAAGCCTGCAAGAGAGAAAGAGATAGCAAGAAATAGACTATTTATTTATGTCTGTTCAGTAATCAATATTAGACGTCTTAATTCCCTTATCCTTTTGAAAACAACAACACCCCCCAACCAAAAAACAACAACAAAACAACAAAATTTAAAAAATAATAATGAATCCATGAAAGAAAATATAAAAAAAAGAACCAAACAAAAAAGCAAAACATTCCCCCCCCCCTAAAAAAAAGCCAAAAAAAGCCTAAACATGAACAAAAATGATTTACATGTACATGTACTCTCTTACAAGAACAGGCTTTACTTCAGTCTCACACATTTTGGTAAATATAATGCACCCCACATACACACACCTTTTCTTTCCCAGTTCCCAAACTCACTACACTGCTAGACAGATTTAGTAAAACTTGAATGTGATTGAATCCTCATTGGTCCTAAAAAAAATGAACGATTGAAAGAGAACAAAACCCGCTCATTCACTCTCACTTCAGAAGCAAAACTACTTTTTGTGTTTGTTCCTTACTTCTTATAGTTTGTTGTTGTCTTTGTTGTTGTTTTTGCTGTAGTTGTTGTTGTTATTGTTGCTGCTGCTGCTGCTGCTGCTGCTGTTACTGCTGCTGCTGCTGCTGCTGCTGCTGCTACTGCTGTTGTTGTTGTTGTTATTGTTGTTTTGTTGTTGTTGTTTCAAGTCAAATTTTGTTGTCAACTTCTCTTCCCTAAAGAACTCCAGAACAAATTTTTAGAACTTTTTAGTACCGTATAGATCTAAGAACTCTTCCCTGTTAAGCATGCACTAAGCACTAAGTAGTAAGTACAGTAGTCTCCGCCTAAATGCACGGTGCTCGGGAGGGCTCCTTAGCGTGTGTTTGTATGGAGCGTGCGTTTACATTAACCTTTGGAAAGGGAGGACGGGACGCAGTCATTTCAATTCCTTATTACCATGGTGACCTCCCTTGGAGGGTGGGTGTGTTTTTGGCGGATAATGTGACGACACGTGACTGTATTGTGAAGGATTCCCCGACTGGGCTTAAAAATACAAAGGCATCCGGGGGGGGGGAGACTCAATGTCATGAATATGCACTGTAAGATAGCCTAAGAGGAAACTGTTGATGATAGTCATAGTCATAGAGACGACTGCCCGACCACTTGGCTTTCAAAGCGACCACCCCCGATTCATGGAGACATCAGCATCACAGATCTCGATATTCAGAAAAACATTTCTTTTGCGATTCGTTGAAGAAGCACGTTTTAAGTTCTTCGAGCGCAGCTGACTAGGCTTACTTGGCTATAGAGGCCTGTCTAGTGTTTTACGCGTGTCGCCTAGGTCTAACTTAACATTAAATGCCGTCACCCAAACACCTGTCAGAAACCTTCTCTCAAAGATACATTTCCATTGACCAATCGAAAAACATTTGAGTACCCCAATCCTCCCCCCCCCCCCCCCCCCCCCCGCTCCCCAACATTTCACCAACCAGTCCTAGACCCATGTTTCTGTGGAAAGTTGGGTGTGAAAACGCTGTCTATCACTCTCTTTGTTCGGCATGAGGGGCAGTCTCACCAAAAATCCGGTTTCCTAGGCTTGTCTTATGCAAGCTGTGCAGGTTGTCGTGGAAATTCCCCCTTGAAGCTTTACCTTTTGGCGTGTTTCACGGATCAGACCTTGCGTTTAGAGAGAGTGACCCTGCGTTTGTACGTCTAAATTATAGTAAAAGACCCGTCAGATGACGAAAGCGTGCTTTTGTATGGCGTGTGTTTAGGCGGAGACTACTGTACATGAAGTGACTTTTGACGAAAACCCACCTGGTGCAAAGTTTGTAATGTAGCGCAGAAAGCTTCCACAACACACATGACCACCAGATAGGACGTGGTTGGGTTCCGCATCTCTTTTCGCATGAACACGACTGCGCTTAACAATAAGCAGATGACTGAGACAGGCTGGCCTATTGTGACGGAAGGGGGGGGGGGGGGGGTTGAGGTCGAAGACGATAGGAGTAGGAGATTGAAAACACACAATGAAAGTGGTGGTGGTGGTGGTGGTTGTGATGATGATGATGATGATGATGATGATGATGATGAAGATGGTTTTTTTTTAAAGATACTACATGTGCACCATTCTGTTTTCTTCATACTAAACAATAACATTTGCATTCTATCTATCTATCTATCTATCTATCTATCTATCTATCTATCTATCTATCTATCTATCAATCCAAGGGATGAAAATGTCGGTTCAGTTTATTTCATTATTATGACGAGCGTTCAATTTCAATACGATGCCACACAAATTATGCAAGCTCAAAACTGAACAGTCGTCCCTCACCGATAGACTTGACCCATGTAGAAGTATTCTTAAAGAACAGGTAATCTTCCCTGGTGAGAAGACCAGAAGCCATCACACCGGGTGGCGCTGGTCCAGAAGTGGTGACGTTTCTGCCCTTGATGACGTCTACCCCAAACATAATGCTGGAAGCTGTTGTCATGGCAGCGAGTGGACTCAAATCTGAACTCGACATCTGAGGGAACAACAGAAAAACCCAACTAAAAACAATAACATAATGTTCCCAACCACAGAGGTGACGATATGGCTTTTTGTGTCTTGACAGTAGATCTAAGAGTAGCATACATAATACATGATCCAGCTTTGCTTGGGCGGTAGACATCATAATCATTGCCTTTCTCACATTGCACCAGGGTATGGGCCACGTACAAACACTTTCCACCTTTCTCCATCCTGGGCTAGCCTCTTGATATTATACCATATCTTCCCACTTTTTCTGTACATTAATTTCTTAGATTTTTCTGCAGTTTTCCTCTTGATCTTTTGCCCTGTGGATTCTAATCCAACACTCTATTTGTCATGGAGATGCCTGATTTCCTGAGAGTATGTCCAATCCATCACCAACACTTTTTTCCTACTTCATCTCTGACTGGGATCTGTCTTATTTTCAGTAACACTTCCTCGTTGGTGACCCTGTCTGGCCATTTGATCCTCGGTATTTTCTTAGACACTTGTTCAAGAAAACCTGGGTCCTATTCATGCAGCGTTAGACATTAGGGAGGCAGATTGCACAAGACAGAATGAGGCCACTTCCCTCTCTTCTGGTCTTGACTTCATTTATATTCCCCAAAGAAGAGACGTCGCGTATCGTCTAGCTCAGAAGCGAATTGTCTAAGTCATTTTTTCGCCGGTTCGGAGTTTTGGTTCGGAATGAAATGAAGTACAGAGCCAGCTTGGTAATAATATAGTTCTCTTGGACAAAAGTATAATCTACATATAAAATCAACTGAGTGGCCAAAAATTCAAGCAACAGGTTTTTTTCTTCTCATTTTCCCAAAATGGCTAAAAATGACTTCAGCATTTATCTTATGATCGGGACGATATGTTGCTTTCTGAAATCTTTTCCGAAAGTGTAACAACAGGCAATGTTCTAATTTATGAATAAACACTTGGCTTGTGCAGTAACAGATTTTGTGGCACAAGACTGCAAAATGGTATCCCAAATGATTATTAATAGTACGGTAGCGCCTGGATTTACCATAGGCTTGGGCCTAAGCTAGTTGCGCAACGTTGTCAGGGGACAAATTCTTTCATTGAAAGTAATGAAAGGAAAAAGAAAACAAAAATCCTTACTTTGAAATCAAAATATTGCGCTTGTTCAGTAAGGGAACAATAACAGTTCTCAGTCTGGGAGCTCGAAACTCTGACACAGTATGGTCGGAGAACTCAGTCAGAGATCCAGGTCTATTATATCGTAATAGCTTTATCGATTATTCCCCCACCCCCCTTGTTATTCCCCTTCTACCCCCCCCCCCTTCCTTACTTGACCCACATATATTTTGGAAAAATATTATGATCATCATCGTCCCCCTAACAGTGCACAGAGCAATACAGAGATTTTATGTCGCTCCGTTTCCTGATTGAAACATAATTGAGATAATTTACTATACATACTAGAGTAAAATAGTAGAATATCAATAAGACAATTCAAATGTACACAAACATCCTGTTGAGGTAAAAACGTTTTCCTGCAAATTGAATGCAATGAATAGCAGTGAAAGGTGAAACTGTGGGGTTATTTCTTGTGTTCTAAATCCATTCCTGCTCTGCCATGACAACTATTTTAAGATTCCAACGAACAAAGATCAGTATCAGTCTATCAGGTGGATCGATAACAACGACATCAGTCTATCTGCCCCCGGGGCTCGATCAAATTCCACGTAATTCAAAGGTTTACACAGGGGGAGCGGGGAACAACATTTAAAATAATGATCTTCTTCCCCTGCTAAGTTACCGCTCCACTTTGCAGTTACCATCGAAATGTGGTTAGTACATTAAGGTGATGGGGAATGAGGAACGATGCTATTGACATGGTATTAGGATAAACTTATTTACGTGTTATGGTTATAATTCATACCGTAATTTGTCGTAATCTTTTACATTTCATTATTGAAACTATGTGACGGTAAAGTATATACCACGACTTTCAGATCAAGCATAGTGAATTATGAACTTTTTAAAGTACATGTGCCCAGGATTTTTGTTTGTCATTTTTAGACTTCTTTTCCTTCTGTTAAGTAAAGGGTCGATAGCTGTAACAGGGATTTTATGTGTACAGTCAGAAAAAAGCGCGATGCATTTAATTGATTTATAGGGAGGGGGGGCAAAATTTATGGCACAACTTATCCTAAAAAATATCTCTCTTAACAAGTAAATCAATGTTGCCCGAACTTTGCACATCAGTTTGTGTCAATTTGTCTTAACTTACTCATATTTTTCCAAAACAATTGAGGCTAAATATAAAAAAAAAGTTTTCTTCATAAATGTATATAAAATATTAGAAATTCTCGTCACGCGTAAACTGAGATTGTTCACTGCACTTCCAGTTCCTAACACACATTATGCACACGCATATATAATAATAATAATAATAATAATAATAATAATAATAATAATAAATGACATTTATGTAGCGTTCAACCCCGATTAAAATACATAGGCTCTGAGCGCTTTACACAGCGTACAACAGTAACATTAAACTTTGTGTTCTGACTAAAGAAAATTATTCAAAATATTCATCTTATTAATTTAAAAACAGAAACGACTTCAGCTGACATTTGAAAGAATCAAAAGATTTGATCTCTCTTAAAGTACTTGGTAAAGCATTCCAGATCTTGGGACTTTGGTATTCAAATGCGCTTTCACCTATTGTTTTAAGTTTCATAGATGGTAAAATAAATTTATTTTTGTCAGCTGATGACCTTAAACAGCGAGTTTGAATGTACAGTCTTAACAGATTTGATAAATATGATGTTGCATTATCATTCAAACATTTGTGACATAGGGTGGCCTATGTCATAGCTCATCAATGACATCTTTTAGCGGTAAAACTTGTTACAAGAAATTAATTTTACAGTGAACACATTGTTGCACAAAAGGTTCTCAAAGCATACTTTCAATAAAATAAGCATGATGTCAAGATTAGAAAAAAACAACAACATGGCGCACTTGCTTTTAAAAACGATATTGCCCCGGCTGCAAACCTTTTAAAACCTGTAGAAACCAACCACTTGGATTTTTTATTTGTATATTTATAACGTTTAGAAAACCTGAATTTTCTAGAATACAGCTTGCAAGTGTTTACAAAAATGTGCGTGTGTGCCTAAAGAAAAGTACCAAAAGTCGGATTTTGGCCGTTTTGAGTTAAGAGTTGTACCTTATAGGAAATTCAATGCTGAACACAGGGTTAACAAATTTTTTTTTTAGATACCTCAAGTAGATTTTTAGATATTGCACATTTTGCGAGGTAGGGTATAAAAATGTAATTTCGAGAAAATGAGCTTTAAGTTTAACAAACTTGAGAAGATATACATACTTTAAACAAAATGATTTTTAAAATGTATTTATTCGTGGAAAATTCATTTCAAAATTGGCATTCAGTTGACATCGGTATCATGAATGGGATTTGGTAAGACATAGCAGGGACGAGAAAACGTGTTTCAAGAATAGATTTTTTATACCTTTCTCTCTAAAAAAATCAAAATAAAACATTTAGAAGTCAAATCAATGAAAACCCTCTGAACAGATTGTTTAAAAAAAAATGAAAAAACGTGATTTTTGTCATTTTCAGCGTGTAGCGCAAAACGGTCTGGGGCGACTTTTGGTACCTTTCTCTAGGCGCACACACAAATGTTGATCTGTCAAGATAAATTAATGCACGTCATTGTGCAAAAGTTGAAGAACCTATATTTAATTAGAGGAGATATTTGACAATAAGTTGCGCCACGGATTTTTGACCACACTACGAGTTGAAAACGTCATTTGTTTTTCTACGTTGACTTAACTCAATGAAGGTGCTTTTTCCGGTAATTTGACAACGATTATATACCCTCTGTGCCTGAACTGCAATTGGGCACTGCTCATGCTGTTTTTTCTTTCCTAATCCTTACTATCGTCATTTTTCCTCTCCGTCTTTTGTATGTTTGTCACACTCCTGTGACCCGCTATTTCCGGGGTGCCTTGATAGTCGAAGCACACTTTGTGCTGTTGAAGCAAGAGTGGTGAACAGAGTAAAAAATCTGATTCCCTGTAAGAACTTCCCTGTTGATCTTGTATTAAACAGAATGTGTACTAGATCCAAACCAGACAGCAGAACAGTTAAGGAAGAACTTTCATTTTTCACTTGGACTGCATAGAATGCCCTGAAGGAGAGCAAAAATGTCTTTCAATGGCAAAAGCCAAAGAGACCTATTCTTTCATTTTATTTTTAAAAAATAAAAGAAGAAAAATAAGGAATCAAGGAGAAAAGTCTACACACATTTCAATGAAAAAAAACAACGCTCTGCCATCTCTTTATGTAAAACATGATTTTATAAGCATATACAATGTTAAATGAAAATGAGCAGTGTAGTGTACCTTCTACACTAAATTATGACAAAGTGTTTAACAGTAAAAGAAAAGCAAAGAGGAACTTTAAAGCTGCATTTTTCAAAACAAGTATTTGACCAAATGGCCATAGAGAACGTCTTTTACAACATAAAATACGAAGTCAGTGCCTGGTAGTCTGATACTTGAAGACTCCCAAACATACGTCATGCGCTTCATTCACTCTTGTGCTCTACATTTAATGATCTTCACAGGCAAAAATGGTTCCACTTTTAGAAAAGATATGTACAAACTTTTACAAAAGAGATGAAAAGTCAGTTCAGGTTGTCAGATCTTTCCTACACATAAGTGTGAACAGCTGTCAATGGAGACTATAGAATCTAAAGACTTTTCCATATACAATGGAATCCTGTTATAACGAGAGGGAGGGGACCTGTGCGAAATTTCCGTTATATCAGGATTCACGTTACAAGGGATCCAGTAATAAATTCAAAGGAAATAGTCAAATAGGCCTGATCTATGAGTTTGGCGTTCTGTTTATTCGCTTTTGTATTTCCCCTGATGATGATTTGTTCAACATGATCTCTAGGTCTTACTTGATCAAAAACCGAATCAGGTTTCTTTCTCTAGCGCTAGCAATGTTGACAGCTCGGCGTTGGAGATCAGAAAGAAGGGGCTATGGCTCTAGGCTAACTCAAGCGGCTGTGTTGTCCCCCCCCCCCCCCCCCCCCCCACACACCATGTGGTGTGTTGCGTCTGCTTGCGCACGTCACACATTCACTCCATCCATCTATCACAGGATTGTGACCTCTCCATCCGCACCAGAGAAGTGAGAGGCACGGTATGCCTAGATAATCTAGACTGTGCTGGCCTATTACGCAATGCATTCTGCTTGTCTGCGCATGCCACACCCTCCCCACTTTTACGCTCCGGCCTTCATTGTTGGTTCGCGTGGGCTCTCCCATTCTTTGTTTCGCTGGATCCCCAACAACTTTCTCAACTGGCGAGGTTTTATAAGCTGTTTAATTGTTCTGTGCACTGTGCAGAGCAGCAGCAATATTCTGTTATAACCAACTAGCATGTTTGTCTGATTGCGCAATAGCAGTATTTTATTTACAAAGGTAAAGCAGGAGAGAAAACAGGGTTATAGAATAGTGTCTTTATAACAGACTTCTCGTTGTTTCAGGACTCGCAATAAGTGGACTCCACTGTATATAAAATAGACAAAATTAATATTATTTTTTTCTTTGACAGCAAGTATAAACATCTTTCTGTGGTTTATAAGCTTCTTGAAGTGAGCCACTGACTAAATGCAAATAAGCATGGTGGACACATTCATTACTCGGTGCCGCTGTGGACAGCATCATAAGCATCATCTCTGTATTGGTCAGTTCTATGACTGTACTAGTCAGTTGTATGACAGTATTTGTCAGTTTTATGACATTTAAATGAAATATCAATCAGCGGGATTTAGTACAACCCCGTTCAGCTTTTACAAAGGAAGATTCTGGGTAGAGTTCTGATAGAGTATGTAGACTACAACTGAAGCACTTTTAAAACTACGAAAGTCGAATTTTGTTTTAGTAAGCATTTTATGGCACTTGCAACAAAATAAGGTCATATAAGTGCCGAAGACTAAAGGTTTTATAAGGGAGTTTGTTTGTTTTAGTAGAGGTTTAACGGTTTTCAGACGCTCACAACTGCATAAGGTCATATGAGCGCCAAGGGGTGGATGTCAACAGAGAAGTCCTTACAGGGAATCAAGACTTACTCTGCTCACCTCTCTAGCTTCGACAGCACAAAGTCTGCTTCGACTATCAAGGCACCCCAGAAATAGCAGGTCATAGGAGTGTGACAAACATACAAAAGAAGAAGAGGGAAATGATGATAGTAAGGATTAGGAAAGAAAAAGCAGCACTTCCCTGTTGTAGTTCAGGCACAGTTTATGAGCATGACAGAGTTGGATCAGCCCATTAACTGTGCATTAGAACGAGAAATGTCCCCCCTTTGGGAAATGCCTAAAGACACTTCAGTCAGAGGGACTGCCCCGAAGGGTTATAAGAGAGTAACAAACACAAAAATAAGGAGGGGAGATAAGGATGATACCTATTTATAGTCATAGAAAAGAAGGAGCAAAACACACCAACCACCCACGCTAAATTCTGTATACTTGAAAGTCCAGAACGTAAAAACACACTGCCCAAGTCAGGAAGACCTACAGTGCAAGATAGATTTTAACCAGTTTTTAACTTTTACAGAAATAACAGAAATCAGAGAAATTATAAAGATTTTGTTGCCATTAATTTCACGACACACCTGAATAGAATCTACATCTAGAAAAGAAAAAGAGGGAGACGGGAAGAGATCATTCCTCTAGAAACAACACACACAAACAAGACACAGAGCTGTGAGTAGCACCATAGCATTGATGATATCATTTCGTTCTTTCTTCATTCAATCATCCACAGAGCAGACGGAAAGTTTCTGACAGATTGCTACCCCAGGTTAAAAAAATTCCATCTACCATTTCAGTCAAATGCAGATAGCAATTTTCTACCCTAAGCCCACTAGTTCCCCACTGAATCCTAATTGTGGAGATACAGATATATATCGATCTAAACCAGAATCAATAAGATGGAACTCTAGTCTTTCCTGATTTATAAATGATGTAAATCTCCCATATACCTGTAAATTAAAAACAAAACAAAACCAAAACAAAATAAAATTAGGAGATAATCTTCAGGCTTCTCAAAATAGCACCCATACATTCGTATTAATTAGGCACATAATTGTTACATTTCAAATTCACCTGTCCCACTGATATCTCAAAACTAATAATAGTCCACATTCATTGTTCATTGAAATACATGAGTGTCCACAGAGAGAAGCATCAAAGTTAGACTGTTCACTGTTTGTAGACTTCAAACCGCAGTGAGTTGCCCTGGAAATAAAAAACATGGAAAGTTCAGAAACATTCAAAAACATATATACCACTACTCTTCCAAAAAAAAGGATAAATGTGAGGCAGCATGGTGAAATCAGGCACTCCTCAAAATAATCAAAGTAACTCTTTATCTCCAAGGAGGGTAAACCCTCTACACCGGGCCCCTTTTTTGGAGCTAAATCTAAAAATGAAAAAAAAAACCGTCATTAAATGGGTTATTAAATAGAAACCAGCAAACCTATTTTGATAGTTCTTCATCTAATGAATGAACTTTCGGTATAAGAGACCTGTTTCCGGCAATCGCCGAAAAGTAAATTGATGTCGAATTCATTGTAAAGGAATGTGCCCAAGCCGCTGTCAGCGGCTCACCGGCACAGTGGTTCCGACCGCGGGCTGCTGGGAGCGGCTTGCCGGAGAGAAGAAACTGGCAATTTTCCGCAGGTTTATGAATTTTTAGTTTTTTGGCCCAACACCTTTCATGCCCATTAAAGAACACATTTCAGTGTGGATTTTACTGAAAAACATTGATTAAAGGCACAAGAAATGTAAATTTTCAGTTTCCATGGACTCTCTAGCTAGGGAAATAACTAATCTTTGGTGGCCATATTCTCCCTAATTTTATCTCTGAAACCAGATGACCCCCACCTCCTTCTTTGCAAATATCACGACTTGTATTCAAGATAAATTTTTTTTTTTTCATCCAAAGCAAGACGAATGAACAAGCTATAAGATGATACCAATAACTCTATAAGAACAAAAATTGACGAGAGCCTGATTCCAGTGTCGTGACACAAATGGATCTTTGTTTATTTGTTTTAGTTATTAGTAGAGGTTTTACGCGAATCGCAACTGCATAAGTCAAATGGATCTTGCAGGACCCTTAAACTTACATGAACTTATAAAAAATCTCAAATAAAGAACTACAGTTGGGAACAGATGAATCAAAAAAGTTGAGTATTGAGAAATAACTTCAACACATCCATAATTCGGGTTAACAAATGATGAAAAGTTAAAGAACTACCAGTCGGGGAATGGCAAACTGTACGAGCTATCCGTGATTTTCAGTTTTTGCAGGTTCATGTTATCTGTGTTGTCTAACTGTAGGTTGAACAAGAGAAGGATACAATAAACCATCCTAGTTTCTGAATGGGCACAAAGAAGACAAAGCCAGTGACAGATATTTTGTAAGGACACGCAAAGGTGTAAAGAACAAAAATCTGTATTGTTGTCTGCCAAAATCGGTGTCCTTTTTTATACACTCCTTTAGTTGCAGCTGATCCATTATACAGATGGATTTAAACAGCACAGAGGGTTTGGCACATAGGGTCGCACGTCAAGCAAGGACCAAGTAAGATGCCTGAATGGTGGCAAGAGGGCAATACGAACCGAACATGAGTACAATAGTATAGTATTTTGCGAGGTGTGCTAACAAAACAAGTTAATTCTCGCAATCCACAAATGGAGATATTGGCTGAAAAAATACACATCAAATTTGTAGATTTCAAACTGATGCCCTTTTCCTCTTTTATAATTTCATATACCGGTAAAAAACTGAAAAACTCATCAACTCACATTTGTTTCAAAGGTGGTCCTTAAATGTGCCCTAAATCTAAAGTGTTAGTTTTTCTGGCCTTCTATAAGTTATACGGTGAAGCCCACTTAAACCAAACACTGCTGTGTCCTTGGGGAAGGCACTTTATTTGAATTTTCTTCACTTCACCCAGGTGGGAATGGGTACTCGGCCATAGACAGGGAAAGATCTTGTCAGTATGTTAGTATTTTAGCGGCTATAAAATGGCAGATTGCACTGAGTGCTTCTCAAAAAGTTGAGATTGTTTCAGATCGCTCTCAGGTCTGCTGGGGTAATAATATTAGATTGTAAAGCACATAGAACTTGCTGTTGAGGGGGAGTTTGCGCTATACAATTAATGCTATCTTCTATTGATCCTTACCAGCCTTAATCTAAAAGAAAACAGAATTCCTATTGTTTTCCCGTTCTTTCTCTTTGTAGAAAAACTACCCATTAGCTGAAATGCTCCTATTTCTAAACCGAAAAGACATCTAGTGCTATGTTGTCTATATCTTCACCAGCAAGCACTGGGCTGTGATAATCATGATGTGTCAAGACATTGGGGCTTTACCCTCAAGCCGACTTGATGCTCCTTGCAACAGAACAAGCTGAATGCAGTTATAGATCTTTAGTTTAGTTTAGTATGGGGATTTACGGCGCTCGCAACTGCATGAGGTCATATGAGCGCGCGAAACACAAGTTAGTTTTTTTATACGCAGTTCACTGCACGGCTGGGTACGGGTTATTTGCTCTTAAAACGTTAAAATATTGAAAATTTGGTGTAGATATATAATTTCAATCTAAAACAACTTTCATAAAAATGTTTAATAATTCAGTTTTGTTCTACACTACAATTTTCCATAAAGGCTAATGGCCTTCATAAAATCCAAAATTCTGTTGGGACCAACGACGGAAAATAAGTCTTGCAACTTTTTTGCATTTAAAGTATTTCCTTCGGATCTCTCAAAAGTCTAGACATTCTGTTAAAATGTGTCTAATGGTAAAATCTGTGTCGACACAAAACGGCTTCCCATCTCCCTGAAGGAGGTATTTGTGTGTCCGGGCCGTGTGTCCGATGCGCAATCGAGTAAAAATGACTTCGTCTCTTCTGGAGAGGTCCGAAGGATATCGCGGTCTCAGTTTGGGTTTAATATTATAGAGTTTGTTACTCGTCCGTTTTTTACAGTGGCTCTCCCACAGACTGGAGGTGTACTTTTTGACTTTCCATAATAATAATAATAACAACAACAACAACAACAACAAAAATAATAGTAATAATAACAACAAAATTATAATAATGGGAATTTAAAGTGCTTAATCGCTAGATAGTAGAAAGCGCCATGCCACCCAAAGTAGAATTACCACTCAACTGACGAATCAAAAGACAGAAAATGCACATTGTGAGACTAGTTAACAACAACACACACACACCACACACACACGCACATACGCACGCCTGCACGCACGTATGCATGCACACACACACACACACACACACACACACACACACACACAAACACACACACATACATGCACAACTTTCATCTTCATCAAGTACACTTCTCTTTACCGTTCCTCGCTTCCTGACGTCCATGCCAAGGGCAGTGGCTGTTTCCAGGATGCAGGCGATCTCATTCTCCGTCATCTGGCGCTCTGGGAATGGCATCTCTGTCATGCATGGGTCATTCTTGAACTTCCTGAAAGGTTAAAGGTCACAGTCAAACTACAATAAGAGGTCACTGTTCTTACTTACTGACCGACTAAATTATATCCAATTAATTATAATATGTTGAATTGGGGTTGCAGCCAATTAGCAAATTAGAAAGTTTTTTTTCCATTGAAATAAAACTGCTGCCATTTTCAAAAAAATTAACTGAGAGATGAAAGAATAGCGCGACATGAACCTTCACATACAACAGATGAGTATATCATGCAACTACCCTGAAAATTCAGTTTCTTGCATCAGGTAAAAATAAATTAGACTGTTGCACCAGGTCTGACACACTTTTCTCAGTAGACACTACATCATGGTTAACCCTTCCAGCGAACAGCCGCTTTTGAGCACTCCCAAACCTCAGTCCCAGCCAATACAGCAGTATTTTAAAAAAAGAGGCATGCATTCTAAAAAGTAATGTAGTATCTTTATAACAAGGTTTAGATAATAACATATAACAATATCTAAAGGATAATGAACAAATATTATCAAAATTAAAGTTTAAATAAAAATAGGCTCGATAATTTAGAAAAATGTGCAAATTCAGTACCCCCCGAAACTGAGAATATATGCTCTTGGGACGGTGGGAGGTACAAGCGCTGCTGAAAATACACGTGCATGGGGCTGGAAGGGTTACCACAGTCAAATCATACATTGAGGAAATCCTGTATGAGAAGCACTTGGGATGCTCGGACAGGTTGAACGCTGGCGCTGTATTCTTTATGAGCCCATTGTGGGTAGGTGGAACAGGAAAGGCATAAAATTATTTTGATCTATGACTAAAACAAAATGAGAGAGAGAAAAAAAAAGTGTGTTGACTATTCTGCTTGCGAAGATTTTAAGTTTTTGAGGAGGGAAGGAGAGATAGAAAGAGAGAGAGATAGATGGAAATATATATATATATATA